TTTGGGGGCCTCCACTGTAAACACCAACCCACAGTCAGCACCCGTCCTCCCAGAGGCTGCTATTGCAGCCCGAGGCTGCGGGACCCAGGCAGGCCCTTTTCCCACCTAACTAAAATACCCTCGGGGTGGGGGTGTCCTGGACTCCCTGGTGAACTGAGCCCCACAGAACCCCCTCACACCTTGCTAAGGATTCTGCGTTAGACCCCAAGGACTTCCGCTCTCAGTTTCTGTTTTGTGGTTGTCTGTCTCCCCGGGCTTTCAGTGGAAAGATTCAGGCATCCCTCTCCGCCCTCCTGCAGTCTGGGGAGGGTGAGCAGCCAGGCCGGAGGGGCCAGGGCCTGGGCCTAGCATGTGAGTGAGCAGGGCCTCAGCCCTCCCCCTCCTTCAACATCAACAGAACAGCTTGTATTGCGTGTCTGCATAGTAAACCTGCTGTCTAAAGTTTGCTTTAATATTTATGCGTTCAGCACTGCTGCCTGTTTTTGAGCTCCATCAAAGCCTTTGTTATAAGAGCATTTGAAAACGCTGGCGAAGTCAGGAAGGGAGTCGACATGTACGCCATCTTTCCGGGGCCCCTGCCCAGCTCATCCTCTTCCTCTCTGCCCTCTCCTTTCTTTCCCTGTCCCCCACCTCTCAGCCCTTCCTTCTCTTTCCTGCATTCTCTCCATCCTCCCTTACAGACACACACACACACACCCCACTACTACCCCCACCCCAAAGAGAACTCTTCCCGGACCTCTGGGAGGAATCTGTTCAATATTTATCAACTGCTGCAGCAGCTATAATAACCAGAGGAAGCTGCACCAAATAGGGTTCCATGCTGGAAGCAAAGGGTGAGTTGGGGGCACCAGTGGAGGGTGAGGGGGAGGTGTCGAGCTTGTGCCGGCTGCAGGGCATGGACGTGAGGCCATCAGGCTGGTTGCAGGCCTGGCTCCCCGTGGGCCCCAGGCCACCCACCTACCCCTCGGGCTACAGGGAAATCTGTAGCTCTGGTTCGGGGGCCTAGTGTGCAGAGGGTGGCTCAGCAGAGCTCTGAGGCCCCTGTCCCACGGTCATCCTCCGCACTCTTCTTCCCCGAGGACTTGAGTGGCGCTGGGCTGGCTGGGGACAGAGGATGCCCCGGGAGCAGCCCATCCTCCTGGCGTGTTCCGGCCACTTTGCGTGATTCACTCGGGTTCAGGGTGTGGGTGCGAGCTCCTCTGTTATTCTAGACACTGGCGAGCAGGAAGCCTGCTTCCTTGTCTGTGGACAAGAGACTTGCTCCTGTAGCTCACAGGAGCGCTCCACGGAGGGCCTTCCCTGAGCGCGGACATTGACTCCCCCCCAGAGGACGGGGCTGCCTCCCTCTCTTACCGCTGGCAGCTCCGTGTCCCTGGGCGGGGTGTGCTTTCTCAAAGGCCAAGCTAGCCCCACAAAGGGGTTAGGCCAGACACTGACTCCCTTCGAGACTGGGCCACCCTGGGGAGCAGTCTGGTCCCTCAGGGAAGGGGGCTCCACCCCTGGAGAGTCACTGCTTCAGCACACACACTCGCCTCCCTGGGCACCTCCGAGCTGTGCCCAAGCACGGGAAGAGCCAAGGGCCTTCATGCCGCCTCAGGCCTGCTTCCCTGGAGTCACCGTGGTCACTTCTCTCCCAGGGCAGCGACTTCATCAGTCACATGTGCATTAGAGATACCACTTCGACACGGCCACCACCCAGCCCCTCTTTAAGGGGCCTTAATGGGAGGCATCACACCATTTGCTGTTGGAGGTGATGGAGGGGCTCAACTGAGCAGGGTGATGTCCGGGGGAAGCCCACATAGCTGAGCACAGTCTGAACCCCAAAGCCCACCTTCCACACAGGCCTTCAGCAATGAGGGGCGATGTGGGGGGAGTGAAGAAGTGGCAGGCAGGCAGAAGCAACGCCCTTCACCAGCTAGGTGGGGGGAGGGGAACATGGTGTGTACACTTTCTCCCCTCTCCCTGGTCTTTGACAGATCAGCAAATGTTTTATTATGCAAAGACTCCTCCTGCCCCAGAGTTAGTGTGTGTGTGTGTGTGTGTGTGTGTGTGTCTTTTTCTGTCTTCAGCCAGGCCCCAAGGGGCAGGGATGCCGTTGTCTTCCCTGGCTGACAGTGCCTTCCCTGGGGCATCCACCCGAGGTTGGCCCTGAGCCCAGCTCTGCTGGGAATCCAGCCCAGAGTAAGAGCCAGCCTGCCGTCCTGGCGCTCCCCGTGGCTGGCAAGAATCGGACAGAGAGAAGATGGCCTACAAGTTAGGCCTGAGAACAGGCGGGAGGAGGGCATGGCAGGGGATGGGGAGCACACGCCCTGTGGTGGACCCTAAAGAATATATAGGATTGCCTTACATGGCATTGCTGTCCGGGACTAAGGTTTCTTGGGCAGCTGTTCTCTGCTGGCCATTTACATATGTTTTCAGAGGAAGAGCCCCTGGTCACTTAATGGTATGAGTAGAAGACAGGGCTCCAATAGTCCACAAGGCTGTGCCACTGTTTTGTATGGACAAGAGCTGGCGCCGGTCAGGCCAGTGGGCAGCTGAACCACCCAGGAGCCCTCCTCATCCCTGGGGCCCTGGTCTCACCCATTACGTTCTCCACATCGTTTTTTGCCTCCCTCTCCTACCGCAGGGACAGCCACGGAACTTGGGGGTGGATTGAGCGCCCTGAATCACTGTCCGGGCGAGCCGCTCTCTCGTGCTCCCTGAGATGCTGTGTCCTCAGGGTCCCTGCCATGCCCTCACCCTCCTTTTGCATGTGGCCTGTCTCCCTGTGCTGATTGGACCCTGCTGTCCCCTGCAGCCCTCTGCCCACAGGAGACAGGGGAGACGTCTCCCGCGCCCTCAGGGACACTGGTCAACCACCCTCTCCCCTCCGCCCTCCCCGAGAGCACCCAGTTGTTTGACTCTGCCCTCGGCAGACGCCCCCACCTCACCCCCACTGAGGGAGGCACCAGAACCACCTCAAGGGGTCTAGCTAGATGTGCAGTGACAAACCTTCCCCCCCTCCCCCCACACACGCCCCTGCTGTGTCCCAGTAGACTGCTACACAGGGTGGCTGCTGGCCAGGAACCTGCAGGTAGACTTTCCGACGGTGCTTGTGCGCCATCCAAGCCCTTGTCCAGCCCTACCCCGTGGGGCTCCTTGGGCAACTAGTGCTCACGTGTCTCTTGTACCCTGTGTCCAGTCTCAGGTAACCCCCTGGCCACATTGGGAAACACAGACTCCTCGTTACCGCATATCAGGGCTGCTTGCCTCCTTCCATGCCTTTCCCACACGGCGTGCAGCCGTCTCCAGCCGGAAACCCCACCCCCTCAGCCCGCCTCAAGTGGCCCATTGCAGCCTCCTTACCCGGCCCTGGGTGCTGGCCCTCAGACAGCCTCTCCCAGCCCCTCCCCACCACCCCCTCCATGCTCACACTCACCCGCTCACTTCCCCTGGGCTTTAAGCGGGTATCCGCTTCCGGGTAAGGCCTTCCAAGGCGCCCTGTGTGGCCTCTGCCCCCACTCAGGCAGCAACTCCTTCTGTTCTGTTCACCACTGACCCTCCGGTCTCCGGTCTGGTTCTCAGACCCGAGCAGGCGTCTGCATCGTCTCATCTCGGGGACTGTTTAAACCCCGGTGACTGGGGCTGCCTTCAGGCTCTTCCCTGCAGTGGGGCTCTGGGCCAGGGAGCTGCCCTCTGGGGGCACCTGGCTTAGGACAGCTCCTGTCCCTAGCAGGGGCCGTGTGGGAGTCAGGCGGAGGGTGTGAGCTGTGACGGGCACAGCCTGCGAGTATGGGAAAGTAAGGCTGCCCGGCTCGGGACTGTGGGCAGCCTGCACCTCCAGGGCCCAGGACACAGAGAAAGGTGTGAAGTGACAATGCCAACCTCTCCCCAGAGTACGCCGAGAACATCGGGGACAGCCGCAGCCCGGAGTTCCAGGAGAACGAGCAGAAGCGCATCCTGGGCCTGCTGGAGAACTTCTGAGACCCCGGTCCGCCCTGCCTGTGTGCTCTTGGACAAATTAAAGCTAGTTTTGCTATTTCCGGGTTGGCATTCTTTGTGGCTGCCTCAGGGCCCATCGTGGAGGGTCCGTGAGGAGACAGAGGCTCTTTGAACTCGACCTGCCTGGCACGGCCCTTAGAGCTGCTGCTGGGGTGGGGGTGGGGGAATACCCTGGGTAGGAGCTCTGGGGGCCCAGCCAGGCTGACCCTGGAGGCACGGGGCGGACTTGGGGTGGCTGGTGCACCCAGCATCGCGATGTGTACACAAGGTGAGAGCCACTGCTTTTAGAATCAACAGGCCTTTGCCAGCTGGTGCGCGTGCGCGCGCCCCATGCAATCACCCAGCAGGAGCTGTCAGCTCACCGTCTGCAGTGTGCCCTCCCCACACACTTGGGTGGCTCTGGCGTGGGCTGTGAGCACCGCTTCACTGCAGCCCCGAATCATGCAGTCCTGGGGCTCGAAAACTCGGGGTGCCATTCCCTTTGGCCAATGAGCTGCAGGGCACTGGGGCAAGGCCCACCCAACTGGGCGGCAGCAGCTCCTCTTCCTCTTGCTGCTCACCAAGGCAGCCCTGAATCAGGGGGAGCTGTTTGGATTGCTGAACATTTGATCAAGGACTCCACAGAAGAAGCCAGATCAAAGGAGAAAAAGCGCGGAGTTCATGGAGTCACATTCAGGGGAGCAGCCCCAAGGGTTAGGTGGGACCCCTTGGGGCAGCTCATTTGTGCGGCTTGGCAAAGGCTAGTGAGGATGAGCTCAGACTACATGTCACTGTACGTGTAGGATGGCCACTTGGTGCCCGACCCCAGGGTGGCATAGGGCAGTAAGCAAGGGTACCCTACCCTCCTGCTGGGGGCACAGGCAGCACCTCTGGCTTCCAGCAGAGCGGCGCTCCCTGTGGAGGGCCACCTGCTATGCCTTCACCCATTGGACCCCGTGGGCTTGAGTTTCACTTCCCTGTACCTGTCATTGCCACTGCAGGTTAGACACCTGCCGTGGCTGTTTGGTTTACACCCATTCTCACCTGCACAAAGCCCTGACTGCAGCCAAGATCAAGGTCCTGGAGAGACCGAAGGGCTTGGACAAGGCCCTACAACCAATGAGGGGCTGAGCCTGTGTTCCAGTTCAGTCTGACTGCACAGGCTAGCCCAGTGTCCTGCAACATCCACCTCTCCCTGTCACTGCTCACCCGCTAGTTACTCTGGGTCCATTAGAGAAACAAATCCACAGAAGCTCATATGTGTAAGAGTTTCGGTAAGTGCACATCAAAAAGACATTCCAACCCAGTGCTGCCCAAACCCACAAGTCCAACATTAGCCCATATGTCCGACACCAATCCACAAAGTCCTCCTCCATCTCACAAAACACCCTATGACACCGACTGCAGGAGGAAAGCCGAGTCAGTAAACGTGTAAGCATCTCAGTGCTGGCAGGGCTCTCACACGGCTGCTCCAGCACCCAGGGCTGCATCGGGGTAGGTCCATGCAGCTTCTCCTCGGGGATTTCTTGCAGGAAGTGAGCCTTGCCAGCTGAAGCAGGGAACTGGCTAAGGCAGCTGCACCCTGGTCCGGCCATCACAAAGCAAGAGACCTGAGAACTCAAAAGGCTAGGCTCACCGAGCCATTT